CTTTTATTTTGAAACTTTAAACTTAATTTAAAGCTCTGAACCCTCAGTTAGTGTTGAGCCTGAGGGCAGCGCCCCCTGCTGGTACAAACTCACTTTAACAGAGGTTCTACAAGCTTCCAGCGCTCTGTTCAGAACCAACATCACTGCACACACATCAGGCTCTGATTGGCTGCTGGCTGCTTCTTCCTGACTCCTCATTGGTCCAACAGGAGAAGGAGGCGTGGCCACACGCTCACCTGGACGTAAATCATCAAACCTGTTAGACAGACTTGTCGCCATGACGACTGATGTCAGTTGTACTGAGACTTACCTGGAAGGAAAGGGGGCGGAGCTATACTACAAATGGGAGGGGGTGGAGCTTTGGAACACAGAGGAGCTGAAGGTGTGACTCCTGCACCTGTGAACCAATCAGAGACAAGATGTTCAAATTATTGATCATATTAAGTAAACAGAGTTAGACCTGATAAAACTGCTGGTCTCAGGTCTGAGAAGACCTGCTGGTTCTGGTCTCAAGTCTGAGAAGACCTGCTGGTTCTGGTCTCAAGTCTGAGAAGACCTGCTGGTTCTGGTCTCAAGTCTGAGAAGAACTGCTGGTTCTGGACTCAGGTATTAAAGGACCTGCTGGTTCTGGTCTCAGGTCTGAGAAGACCTGCTGATTCTGGTCTCAGGTATTAAAGGACCTGCTGGTTCTGGTCTCAGGTATTAAAGGACCTGCTGATTCTGGTCTCAGGTCTGAGAAGACCTGCTGGTTCTGGTCTCAGGTATTAAAGGACCTGCTGGTTCTGGTCTCAGGTATTAAAGGATCAGCTGGTTCTGGTCTCAGGTATTAAAGGACCTGATGATTCTGGTCTCAGGTATTAAAGGACCTGCTGGTTCTGGTCTCAGGTATTAAAGGACCTGCTGGTTCTGGTCTCAGGTATTAAAGGACCTGATGATTCTGGTCTCAGGTATTAAAGGACCTGCTGGTTCTGGTCTCAGGTCTGACACCAGGTTTTGTACCTGAGGTTGTCGGTTGAACTGCTCTCTTATTCAGGAGGTTCTTCGGAGGTCCGTGGGCCGTCTGAAGGCCGTAGGAGAACTGAGGGGGGTCGTTCCAGCCCCGCTCCTGGTTCCCTTAGAATAAAACAACTTTATTAAAGAAACAGAATTTTAACAAACCTCTTTAAATAACCCAATAAATAAACCTATAAACATAAAAACTAAAGACAGAAGTTTTTTTACTTTAGTATCATAAACTGTAAAAAAAATATATATATTATCAAAAATGTTCTTCTTATTCACTGTTATAAAC